TGTAAAAATGTTCCTGAAGCTATCAGAGAGGAGATTAAGCAATATATGAGTTTTGTAAAACAAAAACAGGAATAAAATCCTTGTCATTTGAATAGATCTATTTCTGCTACTTTTAGAAGAAGTGATCCGGGTTGGAAGTATGGTTATAACCCAAAACCAAACGATAAAAATTGTATAAGGTATAATTTTTGTAAAAAAGATATCAATGGGGTATAAACCGATTCAAGAAACACCTTGCTGGTATTAAAAGGAATGTTGCTTCCTGTAAAAAAGTTCCTGAAGCTCTTCGGGATGAGATTAGACAACTTCTGAATTTAAAAGAACCAGAAAATGATGAAAATGAGCCTCGTTCTACGGAAATATCTTTTCCAGGTTCTTCTAGAAGTGGTGATCTAAGTTGGAAGTCTAGTTATAACCCTAATCCGAATGACAAAAATCGTATTAAATGTAATTATTGTAGAAATGATACTAATGGGGGCATTTACAGGGTTAAAAATACCTTGCCGATATTAAGGGAGATGTTGCCCCGTGTAAAAATGTTCTTGAGGCTACCATGGAGAAAATTATACAATATTTGTGTTCAGGGAAGCACAAAAAGATAGAAAATGGTAGAGCAGCCAAGACTCCTAGAGCCTCATCTGCACATACTAATAAGAGGGAGGTAGAAGAAGAGGAGAAAGAGGCAGATTCAGAAGTAACAGAGGACGAGCGTTATATTGAAGAGGGAGATGACTCTGATGATGATGGCCTCGATTCTGATGCATATGATGAAGCTGACCCTATTCCTTCTGATGATGATGACTGAAGACTCGTGGCGTTGAGTGTTGACTATTGTGTTGAGTGTTGACTATTGTGTCCTAGCCTGTATATTTTCTGAATTTCTGTACATTTTCTTTTTCTTATTTTTAGTTTCTACTTTCTACTTTCTAGTTCTACCATCTAACTTTTGTGTGTACAGTCTACAATGTATCAGACTATCAGTGTATGCTTGTATGGTTTTACTGCTTCAGAATTGTATGAAAAATATAGATTATGGTCTTATGGATTATCAAAATTCTCTTCTCAACTTCTATCTTCTTTTTTTAACTGGGATTATGGTCTTTAGTTTTTTTTTTTTTTTTTTTCTAACTGGGCTGCCCAGAACTGTTCTATGCAGCCGCCTAGGAGCTAGGCAGCCTGGGCCCCCATGGCTGCATAGGGGCCACCTAGCGCTTTTTGAAACTATGATGGTACTAAAATATACGACTATGCCTTATACACCACAGCAAAATGGTATAGCTGAAAGGTGCAATAGAACCCTCTTAGAGATGACTAGGTCCATAATGGCTCAAGCTAGTCTACCCAAGAATTTTTTGGGGAGAAGCATTCAGTAGAGCTATCTATATACTTAACAAGGTTGCAACAAGGCAATATATGTTACCCCTTATGAATTATGGACAAATAGAAAACCTGATCAAAGCAACTTAAAGAAATGGAGTCAACAGTGCATGTGCTAATCCCACATCAGCAAAGAGATAAATTGGAAAAACAAAACTCTACTTTGTAATTTTATAGGATACCCCTAAGGTTCAAAGGGCTATAAGCTTTATCGCAAGGATAACTGTCAGATTGAAAACCGAAATGCTAAGTTCCTAGAAGATCTTACTATAAAAAACCCACTTACAGAAGATAATGATGATCCACTAAAGATTATAGGTGATTTAGAATCATCGCCCATAATGGATACTAATGACCATAATCAACATGAAAATGTTGAAGAACCAAGGCATCCTATGCTAAGTGGTCAAAAGAGGTCTAAAGCTTCTCCATAATATCTTGATGACTTCTATGTTTACATGAGTGAGGATATAAATAACTTTATTGACCTAAATGACATTCATGACCACTTTGATTTTAATGATGCAATAAAGTCATACGAATCTCAAAAATGACTTAAAGCCATGAGAGAAGAATTCTTATTTGATTTACCCTCAAATAAGAAACTTATTGGTTGCAAATTGGCACTTAAAAAGAAGCTAAAGTCTGATGATTCTATTGATAAATTCAAAGCTAGGTTAGTAGCGAAGGGCTTTTACCCAAAGACAGGGAGTCGATTATGTTGATGCTCACACCCTTGTTGCGACGTTTATATGCATTAGAATAATTTTGCAATCATTGCTTACTATGACCTAGAACTCTACTAACTGGATGTAAAGACAATGTTTTTGAATGGTGAACTGCAAGAAACCATTAACATGAAGCAACCTGAAGCTTCATAATTAAGGGCCAATAAAATAAAGTATATAAACTAAATAGAGCTTATATATTCTAAAACAATCTTCAAGACAAAGGTACTTGACATTTCATAATGTTATCCTTCAAATGGGATATGAAGTAAATAGACTAGACCATTGTGAGTATGCCTTCACGAATGCAAGTAGAACATTTTTTGAGAAAGGTTAACTTTTCAAGAATGGGAGTAAATTCACAACACTCTCGTTATATGTGAATGATATATTATTAGCTGGAAATGACTTCGAAACAATTGATAGGACCGAGTCATGGCTTTCTTCTTGGTTTAAGATGAACAATATGAAGAGGCGTATTATGTCCTACGTATAAAAATACTAGACATAGAAAATATAGAATGTTGTGTTTCAAATAAGAGATATATCCTCAAACCTTTACTTAAACATGACCAGCTTACTAGTACTATCTAGTGCCCCCACTGCATGCACCTCAAAGAATTCCTTTGACTCCAATTCATTCTTGGGGGAGTCCTCCCTTCCATGAGGAAATGGACTTTGTCATCCCAGCCAAATGGATGTCGTCAGTACGCACCTACCTGATCCCCAACCAACAATAAAGAGACCTAATCTAGTGGAGACACTGAAGCCTCTTAGGGTGAGAAAAAACCCCCCAAAAACCACTCTTTTGTGATTTATCGAAAGATCGATAAATTTTTTATTTTTTTTTATTTCTTCCCAAAATAAAGGCTATTGTTCATAAGTGGATTTGGAGCTTCTAGTAGTTGATTTTGAGAACTTTTGGCGACCCAATAGACGAGGTTTGCACCGACATCGTTTTGGTTTTGATATTTTTAAAACATTATTATATTTGAAGAGGGTTTTGATTTTATTTTGCTACAACATATTATGTTATGAATCCTGTGCTTTTCTTTTAATTTTTTTTCATTTTTTTATTTTTCCTTATTACATTTTCGTTTATTTCACGAATTTGGAGCTCTAAAATTGCCCTAAAAACCCCTAACGCTTAAAACCACGCCCTAAGAACTCCCCTGTTTTGGCTATTGGGGGGTGGGGGGCACGGGTGGTTTCAATTTTGGTGAGGGCACCCTGTCTCTGGGCGCTCGCCTGGGCGCCCAGGCACCCAAAACACCTAGGCGACCGAATCCCTTTTTTTTGAACATTGACTAATACAAAGTAGAGAAAATAACTCCAAAGATAAACACATAGAGGTGCAGTATGACTACATTCATGATGTAGTTGAAAAGAACAATGTGACAGTTATTTGCCTTGCCCTCATCTGATATGATTGTTGACCTATTGACAAAGGGTCTAAGTGTGTAATTATTGACAAAGGGTCTAAGTGTGTAATTATTGACAAAGGGTCTAAGTGTGTAATTATTGACAAAGGGTCTAAGTGCGATAGAAATTAGGGAAACTATCATGAAAGGCATATCTGTGAAAGCATGAGAAAAACCTCATGACAAAATATAGCCATTCAGATCATGCTCAAAGTGGGAGTAAATATATAAAAAATTAGTTTCGCTTGGCCTTACAGCCAAGCAGGAGATGTTTGCGTGTGCGGCCACAAGGTACCTATTTTTACGGGGAGAATCCCATGGGCATATTTTTTATGCTTATCCTTTGTTAAAAAAAAGGACAAAAAGAAAAACTTTTCATAAATATAATATATATAAATAATTATTTTCTAAAAGGTTTCAAATCGTCATATGAAGATACACATCCTGATATTTGGGGGATTAGTTTCTCCAAGACTCATTGAAAAGGAACATTAGACTCCCATTATTCCTTATATAAGGGGGGATGGAGAGAGGGATTTACACAATAAAAACCACATAGCTTTATGAACTCTTTGATAGCCTACTTCTCTCTTTAAAAGGTTCCTAGAAAATTCAAGCTCTATGATTACCAGCCCCACAGCATTCCCTCTCAGATCTAGGGCTTTGGTGCTCATCCTCGCATACAATATGCTTTCTCTTAGTTGTTGCTCTACATTCCTAGGTTTCTCTTATCCACATTTACTTGTGCAACATCCATGCAATTTGCCATTCATATTTTCAATCTCAATTTTCAACAGATACAGTTTTTTTTTTCCATTTGCATTCAATTATCCGAATAATACATGATTTGCTTCCAATTTTTATGCTCAAACAAGTTTGATTCCCAAATTGTATTTGCTGATTGCATGAGTGAAAGCTCAACAAACTACATATCTCCAATTCATTTTATTTATGGCTAGGTAAGCTCGAAGTTGAACCCAATACCATAGTGATTCACAAATATGATTGTTTATCAAAATATTTATTTGGGTGAGAACGCAGGTTTAAACCCAATATCACACTTATGATCTAAACCCAAGCAAAGAGATCATGACCATCAAGTTCTTCAATTCATACGTTATCTGCCTACTTCAACACCAAATGCCATCAACTAGTATCATCAAGGAATCACAATCACCTACCGAATAACCTAAAAAACATATGACATCAACAATAACTAACCTGCATCTTCCACACAGAATATCAACAAACACAAATTACTCATAAAATCCCTCCAAATTCTAAACAATTTAAAAGCATGATTCTCATAAAAACAAGTACCACGCACAGCAACACAAATTACACATGAAAAATTAAAGAAAACAACAATAACATCAGTGCTCGAAAACACAAAATACTCATAAAATTCTACAAAACACTCAAAACTAGCAAGGAAAAAAAGACAAACAAATAGAGAAGGATTTTTTTTCCTAACCTGAGTTTGTTGCCATAAAGGAGACCCGACCATTGGCGCCGAACCCATAGGCATACCCTGACTCGAAGACTGCGGGCCCCTCGCCAAATTACCAAAACTTCCCCCCACAGGAGGTGGGCCCCGGACAGGAAATTGCGCTCCAGGTGCCAAATTCGCCATATTTCCCCCAGCAGGAGTAGGGCCCTGAACCGGAAATTGAGCCCCAGGTGCCAAATTTCCCACATTGCCCGCAGTCATGGCCGGGCCCTGGACAGGAAACTGTGCCCCAGGTGCCAAATTTCCCAAACTGACCCCAGTTGGAGGTGGCCCCCGGGCCGGAAACTGCGGGGCCGATGGCAAATTCCCCAAGATGCCCCCAGTTAGAGGTGGAACCGAAGGAAAACTCCCTAAATTACCCCCGGTCAGAGGTGGACCTTGGGGCGCGAACTGGGGAGCAGAGGCCAAATTACCCGTATTGCCCCTGGCAAGAGGCGGGCCCTGAGGCAGAAATTGGGGTCCAGACGGTACATTTCCCAGTGGGCCATGGGGCCTGGAGGGAAAATTCCCTCCGGCGAGAGGAGGGCCCTGGTGCGGGGAGGGCGAATTCCCCAAAATTCCATCACTGCGAGGGCCATTTGCCATCATTGATGGGGCACTTGGCGGAGGTGGCGACATCCTAATGCCAGGCCTCGACGTAAAGGGCGGAGGTGGGATCCCAAAATTAGGGTTTGAAGAAGGATTAGTATTTGGGCTAGGGTTTTGGGATTGAATTGCGAAAGGGGGAGGAGGAATTGCAGAGCTAGGGTTTTGAGAAGGATTGAAGGGCATGGAGCGAGAAGGGGCAGTTGCAGAGGGAGGAAGAGGAGCTTGAGGTCGATTTAGGGTTAGGGTTTGCATTTGATCGGCAAGAGAAGGAGGAGGAGGAGGAGGAGGAGGTCTCTGAAATCCAGGTCTTGGTACCCCTTGGGGTACTGGAGAAGCCATGGATGCGTTCTAGAGAGCAGATCTGAGACTCTTTGGAGTCGCAGAGAGAGAGAGGGTTTTGGAATCGAACAGAGAGGAGGAAGAGAAAGACCTAGAGGAGATCTAAAGGGTGGAGGATTTTGTGAGAGACAGAGCCCAGATCCAACGGGCCTATCAAAGAAAACGACGGAGGTTTTTGCAGTTTTATGAGAAGTAAAGGGGGGATTGGATCACCAAAATTATAATTATTTTGGGGCAGATTTAATTCGCCTTTGGGGTCCGGTTAGAAGAAGCTTAAATACTCCAGAGAGAGAGAGCGGGAGCTGGTTAGGAAGACTATATTTAATTGAGACAGGATTGTATATAATGAGGCTATTTATCACTATAACGATAGGTCATAATTATTATATTAACCTTTACTGTAAGAGGTTGTAGTTATTTCAAACTAGAAACTTAACGATAAATTCTTTTGAATTTTGAGCTTAATCAATAGAATAAATACAATTTATAGTTAAAATTAATTGTAGTCTTTTTGGACCAAAGATAAATGATCTCATTAAATATTTTTTTTATTAAATTTTATCTTTATTTTAGATAGAGAAAAAAAGAGAAAGAGTTGAGGGTAGATCTCTATTATTAATCTACACCATTCGCTTGCTTAAACAACGGTATAGAGTGTCCCTGTCATTCATAATGAGGCGAATTTCTCGTAGGGAAAAGATTTGGGGGTCCCGCCACCTTCAACGCGGCGTGCCCCGCCGTAGGAAATTTTTGATGAAATTGGTGGTCTACATGGTAGTCCTCTAGACCACACTGTACATTTAGACCGGCGGGCAAAGTATCTAATTAGGATGATTTACGAGCTAACAAGTTTTACATGTGTAACTTTTGATGATTAATCAAGTTAAAAAATAATCATCATTATTTTAGTTTTTTTTTAATTAATTGAGATTGACTAAATTAAAAAATAAAAAAAATTAATGATATTTTTGCCCACCGGATTGAAGTTAAAAAAATAGTATTAATAAATAATAATTATGACCTTTTAACAATTCTAGATTTTAATGGTCAAGTCGAGCTTGAACATGGAATGGATTTAAAGCGATTCTTTGAGCTTCAAAGCAATTTTATTTTCTATTTGATTTTAAATATGAATGATGATTTGAGAGTTGTGGGATCAAACAAAACTTTTGGAGGGCTGTTTTAGCCATATGACTATAATGCTACTATTTTTTTTTTGTTGGATGTTTCCAAAATCATTTTAAACATACTAAATGATTAAGGGTGAGGTTTGTATAAAGTTGTCTCTTTATACTTTAGAAGTCAGGTGTACTTATAAAATTTACTTTGAGATGTCGTTTCGGCTAAAAAAATAGTATAAATCAAGTACATCAATAAACACTTGAAAATCTTGAAAACAGACGGTCCAGATGACTGTTTACCATATGTACTATTTTTTGAACTTGGAATACTTTTTTTTCTTCATGTTCATTCATTTCAAGGTTGAGATGATCAATTGGAGGGTTCTGCCATGTGGGAACACTCCCCACTATAGGATTTTTAAGATGCTCCTTTCCTCGACAGTATAAGGTTGCAGCCTTATACAAACTTTTTCCAATGAGTAAAAGAAATGCACATATGTAACTCCTTCTTTTGTTTAGGATGTTACCTATAATTATTCTCGTTAGATTAGGAGCAAAGCTCTAAAAAGCACATAAATAAATGGAGATGAAAAAGAATAAATAATACAAGTAGTACTCCCTACTTTTGTGTTTGATAACA